GACACCTTAAAGCCCCAACTCTTGAAGGGAATTCAGGAATGCTGCCGTGTCTAATTACAACAGTTTCTCTTAAGTTCACATACTATTTTTGTTACTGGCTAATTGAGATTCATCACTTGAGCAGTTCTCCAATATTTTATGAAATTCAAGATAACTGATGAGCTTATATATATGCTGCACCTCCCTGTCAGGAAGGAAACTCAATCTCCGACCTGGAGGACGGAGGAAGGAAAAATGACACTAAATGCTAATGTTATTTGCTACCCAACCCCAGGAGTTGGTCTCCGGAGGGAGGAACTAAAAACTTGTGTATGTTTAGATTTCCAGTGCATCAGTTACCCTTAATATCTAAAAGCTTAAGCCATTAATGGCAAAAACATTAACACCAGTGCCAAGTTTGAAATTAATAAAGATTTAGGCCAGCAGCAAAAGGGAATGACTTAAATAAGTTCAAAATCAAATATCGCTAACCATGGCTAAAAAAGTACTTAACCTGGGAGAAATAAAACAGGTTCAAAATGCTATGGATCAACAAAGCAAACTAAATGTGGCACACAAGCTCACTCTATGTATTTAAAATTAGAAGCTGTTTTTCAACATTAATGAGCGTGGTTGTATTTGCACAGAAGTTCTGCCAGTGGAGTCACCCGCCCCAAATGGGGTAGGATGAATAGTTTGTGATTTCCTGAAGGGCCACTGTCATCTCAGCTATTTGGCCACAAATCTCAAATGTCGCTGCCCGCTTTATAGGCCAGGACAAGCCTCTCCTGGTTCCTTGAAAAATCAGACACTTCCCAGATGTTAACTCTGAGTAAGCACTAATGCCCTTAATGCCCACACTTAATGCCCTTCTCCGCATGGCCTCTGCTCCAGCAGGAGTAGAAACCTGATATCATTTCTACACGTTAGCTCTATTTATATATCTATGTAATACATGATATATATTTAAAAACACCAAAGTATCAAAATAAATGCTTCCAGCAACACCCCCCTCGGAATTCTGTACTCTTCGAAAGGAAGAACAATGTTTCTGCTTTCAAATCTCCCATGCTTGGCACTGTTTCTAACAGAGTTGGACAGAGGACTGGGATCTGTTTCCATTCTGCAAACCCAGCGGATAAACAGCCACCCAGGGTTGTCCAGGGCTGTCAGCAGAGCTGCCACCATGCTCAGCAAAAACCACCTCTGGGTTCTGCAGAGTCAGATGATTTCCCCACGCCATGGGGAACTCTGGCTGTCTCGCACTTTCGAGGTTTTCTGTGACATGCCCTTGGTTTGTGTTATTCTAAAAGCATCTTCTTTTTTTCTTTAAAGGAATCTCTGAATCTCACCTAAATTTAAATTCAGGGATGAAGAAAGCAAGATCTACAGAGAAAAGCAAAAAGCCTTGGGAAGCATTCTGGTGACATATATTGCTACTGTAACACAAATCATTAAAAACAGGCACTCCAACACCTTATTTTTAAAATCTGAACACATAAAAATTTTAATATTTTAAATAGTATTGAAAGGCTTAGGAAATTCATAGCAATATCCAGATAACGATATTATCTATTCCTTCTACTTCAGATGATATCAATCTTGTAATTCCACATACTTTTAGTGAGATCTTTTCAGATCTCTGTCTACTCCTTTGATGGGTGAGAAAACCATATGTGCAGATCCATACAGCAATGAACTTTGCAAGCCAAACACAAGAACAGCAGCTTCTAGGAGAGAGTGGCTTGCCAAGACAAACAAGTTCTGCCAACATTTTAACACCCCAGAAGGTCAGTTAGGTTATAATTAAATCTAATTACCATTCTCATGAATTGCAACATCTTTTCACTTGAAGTCCCTTAATGCTCAGAAAAGGATGAATTTTTCAAGATTTTCCAAGAATCACAGTAATGAGACATTCTAACCTTGGCTTTAAATCTGAATCATCACTTACCATCACAAAGAAACAAGGCATGTCATCATTAAAAGGAAGAGATTTCAGCAGTTTATTCAACCACTGCCACTTCCTCACTTCTGCTTTTCACTATTCCTCTGCAGTAATTTTACAAGTTATTTTTCTCTTCTGCTCAGTACCATTCTGGGTTTTTTCATTATTTCACATTCTCTTTTTCTCCTTTCCAGAGTTTTGTAACCTTTCTGCTTCAGCTCCCTATTTTTAATCCTCTATATATCTTCAGCTCTTCCAGTCTGCTCCCTCTGCAAGCTGGGGAGTCTGATGGCAGTAACTCTCCTCTGTTTCCACAGACATGCTGACTGCTCCTTGGACAGAACTGCCTTGGGAACCACCTGTGATTATGTCACCGAGGGAGAAGGTGAGACAAAAATTGCTGAAGCAAAGACTATTTTTCTTCCCCATTCCTTTTCTCACGGGCCAACAGAAGTGAGAGAGGAAAAATGCCAAGAGCTATTTGGCTGCTTCTCCTCCATCAGGAGTGCAAAGCCTGGCCATGCTCATCCTGGTCTCATTAACTGGGAAAGCAGCTCAAAAGCCTGGGCTATGAATGTCACCACCTCACAGGGGAAACCCTTCAGCACCTCAAGTTTTCGGAGGCTGCAGTTTGTGAGTTGGCATCAGCTGCTGTCACATGTGGCCATGCCATGAGCGTGGTGAAAAAAGCCTCTCTCAATTGCTAGGACGGCCCTCCAATAAAATTATAATTTGATCCCTCTGGAGACTGGAAAACATCAAGGACAATTTGTTTTCAGACTCGAATAAAGAAACTGGACGACAGGAAGAACTGCAGAGCACACTGTGCCCAGCAGCACAGACCCCCAGCAGCAGGAGCACAAATCGACGGTGCTGCCAATGACACCCACGTCCTGAGTCCAGCATTGCATCACTTGGAATCTGGCTCCACTGCTGCAGGGCTGGTCTGAAAGCGTCAGGAAGGGCAGGATGTGATGAGCAGTCCTGCTCCCTGCACACTGTGTGCCTAACTCCCTCTCATCAATGCTCTCCTTCATCAACTCCCCTCAACTAACAGCACGAGGCATGGCTTTGTGAAAGTCACTTCATGCCTCATACAGCTGTGCTCTCAAACTGCAGAGTCCCTTAGTAAATAAAAATGACAGTTTCAGTTATCATGTGGTACTTCAAGTTCCACCTGTCCTACAGGAGATTTATATGTCATTACGGAGTTAAGAGGTCACTCCACTTACCAACCCTTATGTCATGTAAGGCTTTTGTTGTAGGTAGGGTAAACACAAATCCACAGCACTCTTTTGTTTACTTCCAATTATATTAATCTCTTGCATCTATAAGATTTACTTATCCTCACACATATTATTCCCACAAAAGCACATAGACTGAAATCCTTGACCCACTGATGTTGCTGGAGGGTTTGCAATGGACTTCCAGAAATAGGACTTTTGTTCCCCTTCCCCAGCTAATACATTACTCCTGTGATTCCTTAAATCCAGTTGTTTTTTTTTTTGCAGTCTTACTGTGTTCAAAAAAACTCTGAGATGTAAAAGGATTAAGCTGTTTTTCTGTAACTTACGATGGTGCAAGCTGGTCCCGCCGTATTTGGGGCTAGAACAGCGACTCTGGTTGTGTTTCCTTGGCAGTTCAGCATCTTATGACTATCCCTGTTAAGTCTACAAAATTCAAATTGTCTGTTGATGAAAGAATCCCTCACAACCTACTACTGTACAGACAGCTCACAGACTCTGTATTATAAGACCATTAACAGAACAGGTATTCTATTTCAAGGTAATTTGGTACAGGTTAAGTGAAACTCCAGAATCAAATTGGTTCAAATAATAGTTCAAATATAATTTCATATTCTCTCACCTAACAAGGTGAAAATCCATACAAATAACAGTGCAATAACAAGCAAAATCCCACAGCTTGTTCCTTTGCTTTCCAAACCTGAAATCCATTATTTAGAGATCCACCACTTACCAGGGCACACATACCAGACTGCAGGCTGAGCAGATGGTTGAAAGCTATCTGTCAATCCATTTGCAGTTCAAAACAGTGGTGAACTACTCCAGCTGTTTTCCAGATCAAAAATATTATTGTCATTTTGCTATCGCTGCGTGCTGAGGGTTATGTAACAAAAATGCACATGTCCCTCTGCCTGGAATGCAATTAATTTCCTCCCTCCCCACTGCGAGTGGTAAGTAACAATTCAGACAGTCTGGATGCTTCAGCTTTGAGCGCGGCCAGAGATGCAACCCTGGAATTACTCCACGTGGTAACCCACTATTTGTAAGATGCCAGCTTTCTGGAGGTCTTACAGACAGGGTATATTCTGCAGTTTGGAAAAAATAAACACTATCATCCTGTTTATACATGGCCTCTTACTGTCTGTGGGGTACTCTGAATGCTTCCCTGTAGTTCTTTAGTTTAACCATAGACTTTGCTTTGTGCTGGAATTTTAAGACTTCTAAATAAATGTGCTAACTAGATGAAGTAATTGCCTCCAATCTGAAATCTGCCACTATACTTGCTGTACACTCTGGTATGCAAAAATCAGGCACTGTACACTATTAACCTAAAAATAGTGGCATAATCCCATCTTAGTTTACAAATATCCAAACACCATGCAGGTGGTTTAATTCAGGCTCCATAATGCTTAACCACTCCATGGAATTTGCTTATATAAAAGAACAACTGGAACTCCTTTGCTTGGAACAGCACACTCCAGAAACAAAGCTCATTTTCTCTCTGCAGTCTTTTCTGCAATCTGCCTTTCATCTCTCCAAGTGCAGCTAGACCCACGATATTTATATAGCAATTCTAATATCTTCAGGACAGGAGTCGCCTTTCTGTAAAATGGTTGCACCATACTTCACTTCTCTCTGTTGTTCCTCTGACAGAAATGCAATGGGGTGATCAACTGTCCTCCAGGGTGTCAGCTGAGATGAAACATTAACTTAGTACTAAACTGCAGCAATTTCCTTTAATGTGCTATTACTTGGTACAGCTTGTTCTGCATTACTGGTTTACAGATTCCCTCTGCAGGGAGCACCTGCGGCGGTTTTACTGCTCTTACCTGGTTAAATAGGCCAGAGCCCGCTCAGATCCCGATGGCTTTTGGGGCACCACCTTTTTAATGGAGATTCCAGCTTCCCTCATCAGCTGTTTCTCCTTCTTCTTGCGCTCCTTCTTCAATTTTCTTTCCAGTTTCCTCTTTTCCTCCGGAGTAAGTTCTTGCTCTTCCTCTGCAATAAGTTCTTCCTCTTCTTTTGTTGCCTGAAATAATTGACATTTAAATAAAGTGTTTATATTTCCATAGGAAAGTGAACAAAATGTGCATAAATTCAAATAAAGGGCATGGGCAATATTCAAAAACAAGTTTGGGATTCATGTTTTTCCTGTTCACTGTTCTTCCACTGCCTCTCTGCTCTGCCCAATTCACAGAACTGCAAATTCTGCACTTGCAGAGATCTGTCAAACTGCCCTCTGCAGATAATGATGCTGTTCTGAGCACCTTCAGGTAGCTGAGCATCTCTAGCTATGCATTAAACATCATATCTCAAACTTCCTGTGCTGTTTGTTCTCCCACACTCAAACTTGAGGGGGGCACATAAACAGCAGAGGCTGTTTCATGGTGGAAGGAGGGTTTGGATTTCTCTTAGCATTTCAGTGGGAGCAGCAGGGTTTCCCTGAGATTCTGAGTTTCTGGTTTTTGTGTAACCACACACTTCCATGGACTGAGAAAACCTCTGTCAGAGGCTTCATCTCGATTATGCCAAGGGAGAAGATGTGACAACTACCACCTTCATCCAAGACCACTTGAAGAAACTTTAGCAATCTTGAGGGAACATATGCACCATCTTCAATAAACACATACAGATCAGTATCTCACAAAGGTTGGCATTTCTTTGGGTTTGTAGACAGAACAGTTAATTATTCACATCTAAAACTGTACTGCCATAAATATATGCATCAGTTTATCCCAAATGAAAATAAATATTTCATGTACAGATGAAGAGCATTAAATAGACACACAGAGTTTATTACATAAAATCCAGTGTGAGATTACACTGTGTAGAAATAAAACACTGTTCCACAGCAAGATGAGTTTGACTGCAGGGATTCCCACATGTCTGAAAGAGTTACTCTCTGCTAGAGGTACTCTGTGCTAGAGCCTGGGATACCCATGGAGGCCAACTGAGCGAGAAAGAAATGCTCTTCCCCCTCTCTCTGCTCCTCCCTCACCTGTTTGAGGAACCCAAAACCGAAACCTGAATGCACAAGATCAACTGCTTTATGGCAAGATTGGTTAAAACCACATTATAAACTCAAAAATCCTTAGTGTTACATCAATTTGTGTTAGTTGAGTGCTTTCAAACACAAATCCACACAAAGAGCTAAATAAGGTTATTCTTGCTGACATTCAACCAAAGGGTGTTAAACAAGACAATACCTGAACACAACTTTATTTGCCAAAGACACCTGCTGGGGTCTAAACATTTGTTCAGCGTCAATTTACCTACCATCTAAGTTTACTCTGACTCATCTTTTCAACTTTGTGCTTTCACGGACCGAAAAAAAGGGCAAGAAAGCAGAAATCAGAATAAATGGAAGTATGACAGTAAAGAGGATTTGCTTTTTTTGTTCAAAATACTTTTTAGTTACTTTTATTGAAGGGCCAGCTTCCATTGCAAACACATGCACGAAAAGCAACATATGTTGCATTTGTATAGAAGACATTTTATAGTTCATGCTGAGAATAAAATAATATTTAGGGTGAAGGTAGAATTAAATTGATATACAGGAAACAACGTTTTCATTTGAAAAGCCACCCTGATACTTACTAAAATAACAATCCAGCCACACAAAGCCCTGGAAAACACTGAGGGTGGTCATTTATAAAGTGTTTGTAAAAGATTACTAGAGCAGCTGTCCAACAGACGACACACTACAGTTAATCTTCTTTTAAAAATAATGTAATGAATTTGTTTACTTTTCTGTGAGCCATGAAGCTTTCAAATAAAGTGACTGTGGCACATCATTAGAGCTGCTCTGATAAAGAGGCCTCTGCTTCTTCATACTTACAGTAAATGCATATCTCAGTGCCTCCCCTTCCCCCCCTACATTCCTGGCATTATCAAAAAGCTTTTTATCCCTCTCCCTGACTATTCCATTTAAAGCAAAACAAGTTGCTCCCTCCCTGTAGGTCCCAACGCAAATACCGGGCCCTAACGACGTTTGTTTCCAGCATCACCGCTGACGTGCCGTAGGCTGTCTGACACAAGAGCATTGTTCTCCTGCAGGGCTGTGGCTGTCCCGGCATGAAAGAGTCAGGATTTACAGCTGGAGGTACCTTCTGCTGGCCCACAGCATCATTCAAGGAAAACTGGATTCATCAGGCTTCTGTCTGGGACTGCCAGGACACGTCCCGCGAAAAGTCCTCACAACGTCACGGCTCAAACAACTTCTCTGCTTCCAACTATACTTTTATCCATCCATGTCAACTTGGTTAACTTAGTAGTACGTGCCACAATCTGTCCTTGACTGGTTTTTAATTTGAAGGTCTTATGTGCTTCAGAAAATACCTACATTTGGTAGGTATATCATAATATCATATTTCCACTGAGGCTGAGGGTAATTTTATCACAATTTATAAAAAGAACATTTCCCCCAAACCTGGGACTTGAAAGAAAACAAAACCAAACCTTATACTGAAATTTAAATCGTATCTGTGTTCATTATTTTTTACTTTACTGATGCATCTCTCCTTCCTTTAAATCAATAGCCTTACTTTTAATTTCTCTTTCTCCAAACCATTAGTGTGGCTGTTCTGAAAGATGTGCCCAGTTTGTGACCCATCTGGATTAGGAGTTTTAGTGTTATGCCGTTATTTAAATTTTAAAAAACCAACCAACAGCACTTCATTGTTTTGAGGTCATAAATAATCCACGTTGTCTCCTTCTATATTTATAAAGTGACATCACAATTTGTAGTGCTGCAATTTAGTCTTAACTACAACATTGTAAAGTCCCTATTTGAGTGTGTGAGACACTTGTTTATTGACGTGATAAATTTAAACCACATGCACACAGAAAAACACAACACTTGCCTATTTGCAAAGCCTGCTGAGAGCTACCACACCACCTTGGATCCTGGGCTCATTAGATCTCAATCTAAACAAGGTCAGGCCAGGTCAGCACACTTGAATGAATGACATTCAGAGGAGAGCCAGTGTTTTCTTGTGATTAAGGAGGTGGGAGTCTTCCACTTGGAAGCTTTCCAGAAGGCCTGAAAAGGTGCTAAAAGGGATATTGCCACTGGATGCCACATTTTCAGTAAAAGGCAGACCCCCAAATCTTTCACACTTACGCTCATTAAAAGCTCACGTCAACTTTGTACGGGTACAAAGATGTCTGAGATGTGAGTTCAGGCATCTTCGAGCAAATTCCCAAAATTTATACTGTACCCTGTCCATCTGCAGGCAAAGTGCTGTGGCTGCCAATACAGTGCCTTTCATCAATGCCAGTTTCCAAACTTCTGAACTGTGTGTAAATATAGCAATATGCTGTAAATAGTCTAAGATATCTGCCTCAAAATATCTGGAGGCTTCAGCTGTGGCGGTTTTAGATACCGGTTAAAGTTTTCCATCGTTCTTTGTAGCCTCAAAATATTGCACAAATTTGAAACATTTTATAAGTCATCTTTATAAATGAGCTTACCCACCATAAATGGGGAGCCAACTCACACCGAAGGGAAGCATTTAATAGTGTAAAGCAGCCCTGCCAAGCAATTCAGAACAGAGAAAAATAAGGAGAACTGCAAGAGAAACCAGCAGAAAGATGTAGAGGTTTTCTTGAAGATATCTGACCCTTTTTTATTTCAGCAAGAGTGGCAGAACCAAACAGGTGTAGGTTTTCAGGGATTGCGTCTCCATAAAAGCTTGTACTGCCAGGGGACTATGAACCATAATAGCTGAGCAAGCAGCACCAAGACGGGATTAACAGCACACTAATTGTGTTGTATTTTCAGCAGAGCACTAAGTGCATTTTTAAACTTGTTTCCAGACTTACAGTTACACAAAAGTCCTTGACTGTCTCATACTTGAGTAGAACCGAAGACATCTCCTAAAGACTTCTGTTCCTCCTCCTCGCCCGTCACTGCGTCCAAACCTCCCACATTTGCATCCCTGGTTGTCCGTTGCCAGCACAGAATTAAGTTGATGGAGTCAGAAACTCTGAAGAATTGCCACAACCAACCGAATACTCGTCTATTAAATTCTGCCTTTATGATTCGCCTGTGTAGGTCTGAACTTTCTGCCTGATCAGGGGTTTGGCTTTGCTGCCAAACCTATAACAGTAACCACAGACCAAGCCACAAGACCAAATTCACTATTTATTAGTAACAGTGAATCCAGCTCCTCCAAAACCAACAGACTTTTATCCTTTTCTCCCAGCACAGCACCACAAGTTTGTACAACAGCAAAGCAAGCAACGGCAGAAATTCAAAGGCAAAAATAACAGCGACAAACATATAAAAAGGGCGTCAAATTTTTGAACTCCAGAGAGCTCAAAATGGAAGGGAAATAGATTATATGGTTTGTTTCATAGTAGAAGCATTGTATCACCTTGTTTGTTCATGAAGCTCATGTTATTTCATAACTTTTAATACAGAGAAATGTCAAAAGGGGCTTTGTTCGCTGACCAAGAGCTACCGACCCGTCACATAACAGCTTCTGCTTACGAGCAGCCTCCTGCCCCAAAAATGCCCCGTGAACAATATCAGCATGCAAAAACGTCCTGTTCCTGCCTTACACAATACATATGAACCCTGATAAATAACTGGCCATCTGCCGGCTTAAAAACAAAAAGCAGAATCTATAAACACACAGTTCAAAACCCACAGAGAAGAAAGGCTGGCAAACCCTTACACACAAGGGTCATAAAAGAAAGATTGACAAATGATTTACTGTTCGAGGCTGGCCACAGAGCTGTGCTCCAACTACAGCTAGACAATTTGCACAGAACAGTTCATGGCCATCCTGAACTTAAATAATTATTTTCTATCATCTAGAACCTTTTGAAAAGAAATATGACCAGAGAGGGCACAGGAAATTTCATTATCATGCAGAAAGCAAATTTTAAATGAAAAGCAATATGTAGAAGTACTCCTCCTTATATCATGTCAGTCGTACTTACAGAGGAAGAATTTTTAAAACTTATACACTGCTCAAAGAAAAATAACAAATTTTTCATAAAAGCTAGGTGTTTTTAGAATCTCAACTCCTTGCAACAAAAACGCTGGGAATAATTTATATTAAGTTGGTTTGGAAAGGTTTCTGTAGTTTCAACCCAGGCAGAGAAGCCTCAAACAAGTTCTGCAGGAAACCAGATTTAAATAAGAACAGCCTTTTTATCTTTCTGCTCCAGGAAAGGATTCTTTTTGTGGTCATGTAAAAGCTTTTTTCTTTTCTTTTTTTTTTTTTTTTAAAAAAAAAAAGCCTCCTTGTGTACACAGCTATAGTATCTCAGGAGCACAAGTGATCAGGTAGCACCCTAAATTTGCAGCTGTAACTTAGAATAGATGCACTTTGATTAGCTTGAAACCCAGCTTAATTTAAAACTATGTGATCTTTGCATGTCTCATAGATTTACAGCCAACTGTGAAGAGCCCATAAAGCGTTATCATTAGCAACTGCTGAATAAGAAGAAATTGAACAATTTACCAAATTAAATGAAACCATTTACAGGCACACAGAATACACAACTTACAGAACATAGCTTGTTGAATTCCACTTTGTAGACTGTTTGCTCCCATGAAGTACCTACTGTAGCAGATTAAGTTCTAAGGTATAAATTAGTATGATATTGTATTTCTCATTTTTCTCCACCACTATCACAGCTCTGAATACAACAGAAATATTTCAGACACCACCGCAACTGCAGGCTTGGGGAATGCAGTTTTGCTTCATTTGCAACTACAGCGCTGCCAGGAATTTTCACATAGTTGTTGAAGGATTTTGCTTACTCTCTTACCCTTAATTAAACCACGTTAACCAATCAGGAGAAGATGGAATTAAAAAAAAAAAAAAAAGGAAAGAAAAGAAAAGGAAACCCCTTGGAAGTCATTTGTATCCACATCCCTGTGGCTTACACGCAGCCCTTTTAACCCCTCCCCAGAAATGCAGAGGAATTTAAATAGAAGGAGCACGAGACTGTCACAGCACTCGGCGTTTTCATTGCCACCAAAGTCGTCCCCTTTAGGGGTGCTGACAATTTCTTCCGAGGCTTGAAAAGGCTCTGGGCTGTGAGAGGAGGTAGAAGCAGAGCAGGGGCTGTTTTGAAATCCTTGCTGGAGAATTAGAAAAAAAATAAATAAACCAACCCCAAACCACGAGCTCGATCTCCTCCAATGAAAGAGGTACCACAGGGTGTAGGCAGGTTGCCAGGCGAGCTCGGCAGCGTGACCGCACTGCATTGAGTTTCTTTAATGAAAGCCAGGAAAGAACACATTACACAGTGTTTCTTCTGAGAGCCAGCTAGCCTCCAGTGATTGAAATCAATAAAAACAGTCGGCAAGGGGCCCAGTGGGGGAAGAGAGAAATCTCCACTACAGCATTCAGTTTGCTTTCCACTTTCTCCCTCCCCCTTCTAAAGTTAAACTCTGAAGATCACCATGACAAGCTACTTTGCTTCCAGCGCTGGGAAGACGCTGGTGGGGATTTAAAGGAAGCGAGCACTTTCCTTCGCCTCCCTGCCTTCACTCTCCCCCCAGCACGAAGGAAATGAAAGGCTTGTTTGGAATTTGAATCCCGCCTAGAAAAACTTCACTGGACAAGTGCATCGTCCTGCATTTCAGGAAAGGGATGGATTTTACAGTCGGAGAATGCTAAAAGGTGAGAGGGGGAAGAAAAGCAGGAATCTGATCCAGCCAGAGCCCAGGAACAGGCTAGGATGTCCAGCCTGGTGGAGGGGACCTCTGGAGCTGTGGGGAGGACCGCGAGCAAGCACCTGAGATCATCCACATCCTAAGGCAGCTGGAACATTGGGAACACGTGACCGACACACCGACCCAGGTAAGCAGAACCTGCTTTTATCAACTCTCTGTACTGCATCCGAAAACTGGAGCGAGACCTTTCTGCCCCAGCCTCCCCTGCCTGCCCCGCGTCCGCCCTCGTTAACCTCGGCAGACTTAACGCTAAGCTTGTCCCGTCTGAAAACCGTGTCAGGCCACTAATCCTCACTGAACTATAAACCATGCACAAAAGCCCTTTGTTTACCCGTTTTGTGTTGAATTTGCGAGCTGACAAGGTAGGACAGGGCCATTGCATAAGCGCAGCCCCCCCAGGAGCTCCCGCTCCATGAGGGCCCGCTCGGAGCAAGGAAACAACACTGACACCGCACGCTGGAGCAGACTGTGATCTGAGACAGTGCCAGTAATGGATTTCTAATATGGTCCATATTTATCTATTTTATTTATGTATTTTAATCACCATAGCAGCCACATACAGAACATACTTGCACCGAGTTCCATGTGCTGCTCTGTACCATGAATTACAGCAGCGTGCATGCAGGGGGGCAAGGCTGATTGTTTTGTCAAAAAGAACTTTGCAATTAGTTGTTCATACAGCCAAGGGGGATTTCTGGCACATTGTTTAGGAACGACACAGGTTTATGCAGCACATGTATATTCTGCCGTTTATCCCTAACAAAAACGGGAAAGGCACAGATAACAGCTGTGGATCACAACATTCTTCCGAAGTTTTTGTCCAAGCTTCAGATGATTTATGTAGACTTCAGTGAGACACGGAGGATGAAATCAAAGCCTGCCTTCTGCAAAGCAAGCAAAAATGATGATAATATCTACATCTCTTTTCCAGCAGAGGCAGGAATTCACTGGAACAGATAATAAATAGGTGCCTGTGGAGCAAGAGCAACAACGCTTGTCCCCTCCATGCTGGTCATCATTAGACGTTGACAGAAACACACACAGTCCCAGAGAGGTCTGGGAAGGGACTGGATGCCTCCACTTCCACTTATTTGGCACCTCATGATCCCCAGCCTGTAGGGTACAAAAGCCTGGTTGACTCTGAAGGTAGAATGAAGAGATTTCCCAGCATTTCCTCCCTTTCAGTACCAGCAGACAGAATGCACTAATTCAGTACAGCAAGTGCAGATGTATTTCTGCAGGTGCAATGTTGCTCTTTCCTTGGAAAACCCACCCCTTTTTAGGGTCATTTTATAATTTTCACAACACATGGAAGTGGATGACTCACAGACTTACAAAATGACCTGGAGAACACTTCCATGACCAAAAGTAAAGGATGTAAGTTTAAGCATGGACTGTTCTAATAAAGCTACAAAAATAGCTGAGGTAGTATTTAAATAGTAAGAAGTTTTTACAGTTTTTTACAGTTTTAATCCAGTTTTGAACTTTTCACATAAAACAGTCACAAAATTATAGTCAAAATGTAATTAAAGAACAACAATTTACAACAAAAAAGCAGAGTTGTGATTCATAACAGAATAGGGCCCTTTATGAGGTTTTGGGCATATCCACAGACCCACGATTCAGTTCTGTGTTTTCCTCCCCTGCACAAATCCTTTGCAGAAATGACAGCACCTTCATAGCTCGGGAATCACAGCAATCACTCCCACACCAGTCAGCAAGTCTGTTTTGTGCTGCTCTTGGAGCTAAATTTATCCTTATGCAGAAGAACTCATTGAAGTCTTTTTTTAACATTTCAAACAAGGAAAGTTTAGGTGGGTCTTACACAACACATATCGCTTGTACTGACATTCTCAAGCTCAAGTGATATTCCTCCCCATTACTCCCTCAGCAGAAATATAAATATTATCTTTAAAGTAGAGTGTGGGATATTTTGTTCAAAGGGACGTGTTTTTCAGAAGCCAAGTGGTGTGAGTTTCCACAGCACTTACTGTTAATGGAATATATTCTTTTCAAACACACAATATAGGAAAAAATGTATTTTCTCAATCAGAAGTTTTGATCAAACACAGATATTCTAGCAGTCATACCACAAGGAAGGATTTACTACGCTTTCTCAGTCATGTCAATGTTATTAAAGCAGATTCCCTGCACAGTGACACAGTTCTTCCAACTCCCCCTTTAGAGTATGGAGATCTGAGAGGATCTCATGTTGTTTTGCTGAGTTGGATACAACAAAATAGAACTAATGGGAACCAATTTCTCACATTTCTACTAGTCTTGATATTTGGGAGTACTTTGTCCTCAACAATGAATCACATCTCCACCACAGTCAAGAGTTCCTAACACAGACAACTGCCCTTACAGCAACAAATGCTGGTAAAAGAGCTGTTTGAAAACAGTCCTTAAGTCAGCAAAGGAGATGAAATTATTTTAAAAGTGGAAGGACAAACATTTTGTTTTAATCTCACCCATTTAGGATTTTATGAAGGGAAATATCTGGGATTGTACAAAACAAGTTGAATGCCATTCAAAAAATGCGGAAATTCAACCATAAAGGTGCAAACATCAGGGTCTGCTGAACACCTGGACAGCCTGTCTTGGGTGAAATGTAATACTCATGCCTATGCTGGTGGAGAAAGAGCGCTGCCATCCCTTTCAAATGAACATGATCTGACACTTCTTGAATATGGTAAAGCTTAAAGGTGTCTCCTTTCTAATTTACACCAGTGGTTCATGTTCACAGTGCTGGATTCACTCAGCTGAGCATATTTAGTTTGCTCAGTCTCAAGTTGACAGCTTCTCTGCAATGTATCTATTCTGACTCAAAAGTGGAAAGTAATTAACATACAGCTGGAGAAGGTACGTTTTCCCCATCCATTGGGAAGACCAGTGAAGCAGGAGACAAAATATTAAATGAAAAATCAATGCTTATCAATCCCTAGGAAAGGTGGTTTTCCTTACAATTCAAATGGGAATCCTTGGATTTGACTCAGGAAGACATTTTTGTTAGAAACAACAAAGTCATCATAACCTGTAAAAAACTTGATACTTCTTTACCAACAAGTTGTCAGTATCTTCAGCTCCACAGTTCAACAGAATGTGTAGCTAGAGGGAATGAATGTCCCGGGGTAGATACACTCTACTCTCAAACCCTCTGAATATTCTCACATTTTTATTCATCAACTTCTCATTAAATAAAACTAGCATCACTGGTAGTTTGCTATACTAAGTTTTTTTTTTTAAAAACCTAGCAGAATGCATTTCATACATGCCTACGTTCATATACACTCAACTGCACACACACATGTATGCAGGACCATGCAGTTTTCAATTTGGGATGAACAAGACCCAAGAGAAGACACTCAAGAAAAGAGAGTGGGCAGGATTCATTTCTTTAGCAGAATGTGATCACTTCATGATTCAACAACCCTAAAATAGACACCCACAGCAACACCCAGAACACGAGCAGCCCCTCAACTGTCCTGCACGTTCATATCGTGATAACCAAGCATAAGGGTATCAACAACCTCAGCTCATGTCTTGCCACTTGACTTGCTTTACAATGGGATAAGAGGTTTGGGAGACAGAGAATTGGACCCTCACTTTGGTTGTGAAAAGAGAGACATCTTAACACAAAATAAGGAATGAATGTGATGGATGTTACTGATTTTGGCATTTGACTTTGTGCCGAGTGATAACCAGAGATGAGTGACCTAGGCCTTGACAATTAATTTCTGCAAAATTATTATTCTTCTAAATATTTATAGTTTCCATTAATAGACCACTGAACACTTGTATGCAGAATTTGAACAATTACTGTACTGTAAAACTGTATCTCAGGTACAGTTCAGTTCCCACTGAACATCCTATTTAAGTTTTTGTCTCAAGGAGAATGGTAGAGGAGGTAAAGTTTGTAAGAGCTGGCATGAATTACACGATCTAATTTTCCTTCAAGTCTGCTTGCTGCTCTTCAAATCATCATGATCAAGTGCAAGTGGCACTGCACAGGCTCATTTAACATGACTGGTAGGGAGAAGGAATTTGAATATATTGTTTGGGAGTTTGAAATGGTCTCCTGAAAGTTCTTTAAGAAAATTCCACCTATAATTTCAGCATTTTGAAAGCCTCTGAAAATAAAGTGCAATCCATTCCCAGATCCTGTTTATTTAGCAACGCTCTACATGCTTTCTGCTCTTGAGAGCTCCCCGATAACTATAAATCTATGATACCAACTCCTAAGCTCTCCAAATTTATCACACAGCCCTGGAATACTGAAATGACATCTGGTTTTTATAGCATCAGGTGTGCCCTCATTATGCGTTTGTGAGGCAGAGCAGAAAATTGAAAAACAATTATGATTTAAGAACCTAAATTAAAACCTGTTGACTGTTTAGAAAAAAATGTTCCATAAAACCTGTTTGTATTCCAACAGACCACACTGAAAGATATCATTGTAAAAGCAGCACACCACAAGGTGTTGGTGGTGTTTGCTTATTTTGGAATTAAGGCATCTAGTAAGTTATCCTAAAATAAAGTTGTATTAATCTACATTTCAATAATAAGTAGCTTACACATATTTACAAAATAAATACCAGAATTTACAAGGATTGAATTTACAACTCATGACAGTTTCAAAGTCAAGCTTTACCTGCC